AAAAAAAAAAAAAAGAGATTTAACGATGGAAGTGTTTGATATGCAAAATTATACAGGAAAACCACTAAAAAAAATCCAAAAAACCAAACTTGACCAATGGTTACCATGGTGAAGGAGGGAGAGTTGTTGCTTAGGGGCATTGAGTTTATGGCGATGGAATAATTTGGAAAAGGGATGTCGATAATGGTTTTATAACATGAAGAGTATAATCAATGGCACTGAATTATACCTGGAGAAGTAATTGAAGACTGTTTTGTTGTATATATTTTTGCCACAATTTAAAAAATTACACTAATAACAATGAGTACAAGGAAGAAGAAAATGCTCTAAAATTGATGGTGGTGACGATTGTGCAACTCTTCTTGACACGATTGAACTATTGAATTTCATGCTATGTGGATGAAGTGTCAGTAAAACTGTTCAAAAAAGAAAGAAAAGAATGATGGAGGGTGGAAGTGTGTCTGCCCTCTGTCTTGGGGCAACAGGGAAGCCAGAGGATATGGCCCCTTCTACACACTTTCTTTTCACACTAACTCAAAGTATATTTGTTTGTATTGCCGTGTTGCAAATTAGCACAGTTGACAGCTTTAAGAAAATGCACAATTACGACATGACTGCTTCTGTGGAGTCTTGGATCTGGGCATGCTCAAACGAGTCCTCTGGAGGCTCCTTTAAGGCGTTGGCCAGGACGAGGTGCTAGTCTGGAAGTTACACTCATGATGGGTCTGCTCAAAAGTTTTCATTTTCTTCTGGTTATAAGATTTGAGATCCTGACTTCCTTCTGGATGTCACTTCGGCATGTCACTAGAGAGCTCCAGCAATTCCTTGACATGTATGAAACCCTTGTCATCAAACCCTATTTAAACCCCGGCAAGGGAAAAAGAGTAAGTCTGCTTACAAGATGAAGCCTTACATAAGTAGCCTAACCACAGGAGAGATATTCTGTCACTTTTGCTGCAAATCATGAGACGGATAGAATGTCACCTCTGCTATATTTGTGAGCAGCAAGTCCCAGGACCCATTTGCACTCAAGCGAATTATACAAGGACATGAATATCAAGAAGTATAAAAGAGGGAGCCACATCCATACCTGTCTGACACACAAGGTAACTTAGTCATGTGACATGACCAAGACAAATTCCATTTTGTTTCACTTTTAACTTTTACATGTTTTTGTTTTAAACTTTGTTTTGAATATGAGCAAGTGCAGTGAAACACAAGTATAATGTTAGGAACGCAGTCATGCTATTTGTACAAATAAACAAACTTCAGACGCCCACTGGTAGAGCTTATCAAAACAATCAGATACGGCCATTGACGTAATGTGTGACGAAGCAAAGTTGTTTACCTTACTGTATAAAAATCCTACTGGTGGCAGAAGAGCGTCAGAGCGTCTTTGACGCAGAGAGGACACCATGCCACTCTGAGCGCTCTACCAGTAAAGTAAGCCACCTATGGTGTATTGCCTGATGTATGACGGTGTTTGCCAAATTTTAAGTTAGAATATATACTGATTATAAAATGCATGATCCATTTGATGAATAAGTGTGTGAATTCAGCATCATGGCATGTCTCAGGTTAAGTTTCTTTTGCATGCCCAAGACAGTCACATCCATTTTAATGGTCTAATTTTGGATAACTCTTAAGCCAAATTCAAAATTCCTCCCCTACTTTCCCTAGGGTTTCATATAAACTGTATTGGGGGAGCATCTCCATTTATGTGGTATCTACAGACTTCCCTGGGATCTAGTTTTCTTGTCTGACATTTAGAGGTTGGTTTGTTCTAATCCGGTGCTGAAGTATGAGGTCCTACACATTCTTTTGACTGCATGATCCATGTGATATCCACAGATTGGGTCTCTGTGGTGCCCCTGCAGCCTCTTGCATCCTCGAGTTCTCTCAATCCTTCAGAGCCTGGAACCATTGGGCTGCTAGCTGATACCACTCAGGAGTTCCCAGGGATCTTCGAGGAAGGCCAGGTTTATTTCTTAGTCACTGCTGCTCCACCATTCTGGCAACAGACTGATCTGAGAACTTCTCCAAGAGTCGTTGAGCCTGCGTTAAGGTGGTGATACTCAAACCCCTTATTTCAAGATACCTTCACACTTGATTTTGATTGGGAATATGGTCCCCCTTTCTGCTAAAGGCTGTTAGCCAGATGAAGTCTTATATAATTAGCATAACCAAAGAGGATAAGGGGCCAGCACCACACTTTTACCTCTAAACTCATTTCTTTCTGCCTCCCAGCCCCACCGTCCTAGCCCAGAAAGTGCTTTCATACCTTGTTTGTGTGCTTTCATTCTTATACAATCTGCCCAGTGCTAGTTTCATGGCATGCACTCTATCATACGTGCCTCTCAGGCTTTACTTTTGATGTTCTAGAACTCAATGGCAAGAGTCTGAGTGCTCGGACAATAAGATTTGTTTATGGGCAGCATTTTTTTAATCGTTTTATTAGGGGCTCATACAACTCTTTATCACAATCCATACATATATCAATCATGTAAAGCACATTTGTAAATTCATTGCCCTCATCATTCTCAAAACATTTGCTCTCCACCTAAGCCCCTGGCATCAGCGCCTCATTTTTCCCCTCCCTCCCCGCTCCCCCCTCTTTCATGAACCCTTGATAATTTATAAATTATTGTTTTGTCGTATCTTGCCGTGTCCGACGTCTCCCTTCACCCACTTTTCGGTTGTCTGTCCCCCAGGGAGGAGGTCACATGTATATCCTTGTAATTGGTTCCCCCTTCCCAACCCACTCACCCTCTATGCTCCCAGTATCGCTACTCACACCACTGGCCCTATATGGGCAGCATTTTAATGGTGAATGTTTTATGTAGTTAAAGAGGCATGATTAAATGAAATAAAAAATAAGGATAAACATTTCAAAATATTTTGTCAACATATGTAAAAATAGGAAGGACTTAAGAGGTCTAAATTCAGTCGGATGTTAAAAGAATGGGTAGGATTTCAACACATTACCCAAAGTAAAACTCCCAAATCCTACTCATACTCGCTTGATTTTCCCACACTTATATTTTGTTTCACAGGATTTGTACTGCATGAAGTTAAATTATTTCTTTAGTCTCTTGTACTCCATGAAGTCAAGAACTCTAGTCTGTCTTTTTCAAAGTTCTATCCCAAGGTTATAGCCGTGCCTACTCTACAATTAAAGGTTAAATAAATGGTATTGAATAAAAGCATTAAAAGGTAGAATATATTCTAAGTATGAGAAACATTGACACGGGGGTAGAAATTTTTCTATTTATAAGAAACAAAACCAACATAAATTCTCTCCCTGTGTTGAACAAAACATGAACCGTGTATATTTTTCTGTCCCTATGTGAAACAATGCTAAGATCAAGCAAAGTAATTTAGCTTATTGTTTCAGAAAATATTTATTTCTAGAACATAAAACTATGAGCCAACTAATATGGTTTATTTTCTGTTTTGCAGGTTTAAAAAAAATCATTTTATTGGGGGCTCGTACAACTCATCACAATCCATACATACATCCATTGGGTCAAGCACATTTATATATTTGTTGCCATCATCATTCTCAAAACATTTGCTTTCTGCTTGAGCCCTTGGTATCAGCTCCTCATCCCCCCCCCACCTCTCCGCCACCCCTCCCTCATGAACCTTTGATAATTTATAAATTATTATTATTTTGTCATATCTTACACTGTCTGACGTCTCGCTCCACCCACTTTTCTGTTGTCCATCCCTCAGGGAGGAGGTTACATGTAGATCCTTGTAATCGGTTTCCTCCTTTCCACCCTACCCTCCCTCCACCCTCCCAGTATCGCCACTCTCACCACTGGTCTTGAAGGGATCATCTGTCCTGGGTTCCCTGTGTTTCCGGTTCCTATCTGTACCAATGTACATCTTCTGGTCTAGCCAGATTTGTAAGGTAGAATTGGGATCATGATAGTGGGGGGAGGAAGCATTTAAGAACTAGAGGAAAGTTGTATGTTTCATCATTGCTACCCTGCACCCTGACTGGCTCATCTCCTCCCCACAACCCTTCAGTAAGGGGGTGTCCAGTTGCCTATAGATGGGCTTTGGGTTTCCACTCTGCACTCACCCTCATTTACGATGATATGATTTTTTTGTTCTTTGATGTCTGATACCTGATCATTCTGGCACCTCGTGATCACACAGCTAATGTGGTTTCTTTAAGACCCTCTTCTCACTATGGGCAACAATCCAAAAGGATGTCATAAATCCTGCCCTATCCCAGTAAGTATTCTGTTTTAAAAGACTGAGCCTAACATCACCTAATCCACAGTCTAAAAGCCGTATTAGCCCTGCCATGTTTTCCCACTCTGAAATGTTATCAGCATTCTGTCAAGTTGGTGTTGTCTTTTACGGAGG